TTTATTTTATTTTATTTTATTTTATTTTATTTGTTCCGTTCCGTTCCGTTCTTTTATTTTGGGAGTACCATAGTCCTCACCTTGAAAAAGTTGTTCAGCTCTAACCAAGGTGAACCAGTGACCTACCTTAGCTTAAAAGAACCATATTACAAACCACAAATAAACCAAGCTACCATATCTGGAGAGGGGGCTGATTTTGCAAGACCAAAGTTACAGTTGTTTATGTACCATAGATTCTCATTGTAGGATCCAGATTTAATGCAAGCAAGATTCTTAGGAGATGAACATTTTTTTTCACTAGACATATTTAATTTGAGCAAAGACATGATGGCCGTCTGTTAGAAGTGAACTAGATCGAAGCTGTTTTCATCTAGCATGATGTCCAGCTTTGAAAGAGCCACAGTGTTTAACCTGTTCCTTCCTTCCTTCCTTCCTTCCTTCCTTCCTTCCTTCCTTCCTTCCTTCCTTCCTTCCTTCCTTCCTTCCTCCACAGTATTCAACAACAAGAAGACATCAAGAGCCAGTGATGGGGAAAATGATGGAATCTAGTTTTTCAGGCACTCAGTCTTTCCCTGAAGCTTTATCTGCAGAAAGAGGAGGCCAAGCTGCAAAACCACATAGGTAAGGAGATGTTTTTTTTTAATGGCTGTATTTTGTGAGACAAATGCAAGGCAAGTGAACGTGGTCACTTAGGAAACCTCTGTTTGTTTGTTAAGCAGAGAGCTTGGAGAGTCTTCCCTTACAGATGTCAAAGCCATTATTCCAGCTGATGGATTGCCACCTTTCCGCTTTTCCATAAAGGGCCTAGAACCGTGGTGGCGAACCTATGGCACGTGTGCCACAGGTGGCATGCAGAGCCCTCTTTGTGGGCATGGATGCCGTTGCCCCAGTCCTAGGCCTTCAGCTGGGTTTTATACAACTTTTTCACTTTAGGCCTCCGCCGCCATGTGCAAAAAAAAAAAAGGTTCAATCAATCAATTTCAGCTTCTTGCGGGGCAAAAAAGATCTCGCAAAGTTGGAATTGATTGATTGAACTTTTTAGTCCCACCCAGTCTGCTGTTACTACCGCAGCCACGCCCAGCCAATGGGCCACGCCCAGCCAATGGGCCACGCCCACCCAGCACCCGGCGATACATAAGTGGGTTTTGGGTTGCAGTTTGGGCACTCGGTCTCTAAAAGGTTCGCCATCACTGGCCTAGAGGACTCTTAAACAAGAGTCACAGACCAGCGAATCAGATCATTGTATTCCATTCCCTCTGCCTGTTCTCTTATCAATTCATGAAGTTAATGACCCAGCCGAAGGAAGGCTACAGAGTTAACTTGGGCTGACAAATACGATTCAGTGTAAAAAAAAAGGGATGCACTACATGGCGCCTGTAACTAGCAAAGGTTGGTTAAGTGGAGCCTTTCTATTGGTTTTTAGTGACTGAAAGCAAAGGGCATTATAAGGAGAGTGGATCCATGTGTGCACATTGGTCATGATGTATCTCTACCTCTATCTCATCTCTATCTCTGTCTCTGTTTCCATCTCCACCTCTACCTCATCTCCATCTCCATCTCTATTAACCTTTACCTCTATCTATCTATCTATCTATCTATCTATCTATCTATCTATCTATCTATCTATCTATCTATCTATCTATCTATCTATCTATCTATCTATCTATCTATCTATCTATCTATCTAATCTCTATCTCTATCTCTGTTTATCTCTATTTATCTCTATCTCTACCTCTACCTCTATCTATCTATCTATCTATCTATCTATCTATCTATCTATCTATCTATCTATCTATCTTTCTTTCTTTCTTTCTTTCTTTCTTTCCCTATCTCCCTCTCCCTTTCTCTCTCTTCTTTTCTCTCTCTTTCTCCTTCCTTCCTTCTTTCTTTCTTTCTTTCTTTCTTTCCCTATCACCCTCTCCCCTCTCTCTCTTCCTTTTTTCTCTCTCTTTCTCCTTCATTCCTTCCTTCCCTCCCTCCCTTCCTCCTTTCTTTCTTTCTTTCTTTCTTTCGCTATCTCCCTTTCCCTCTTCTCTCTCTTCTTTTCTCTCTCTTTCTCCTTCCTTCCTTCCTTCCTTC